TGCCATGAAATTAATAATTTAAAAAAATGTTGGATGGCAATAAAACGCGAAATTATTGTAAGAGTTAATCCCATTATTATTCTGTTTGTTATTTTTACACGCTGCAGTATAGGTACTAATAGTTAGCCAGTTTTATTGCTTGTGAGTTGAATATAAGAATAAAATAGTCCATAGTCGATAGACACATTTGAAATACATAGTTAGATTAGTTTGTTTATACTTAATAATTATTGAAGCATTTCAGATAATCAATGAACTTGGCACCATTTTTGTTTACATTTGACGGTGATATTTTGCTTAGATTAAACATTTTGTACAATTTAACACTATAAATTAGCACACTTCATACTTCTACATGGTACTATAGCAAGAAAGCTAAAGGTAGTAATTACTAAGCCTTCGTCTTTTTGTTCACGAACACAAGGTGTAATATTTGGCTATAGAATTGACATTTTAGAATTGGTGTAGGTAATAAATATTTACTGTAACTAAACGGCTGTAATAAATTGGGTATTCGGCAGTTACTACTACTCCGTCCCCGGGCAATGTATCAGCAGCCGGTACTATACTTCGTAATAACAAAGCATTAAGAACTTCAGACCTTACGCACGAGGCATTGTCTGAAACCGTCTGGATCGCAACAGAAAAATTGAAACAAACAGCTAAACAAGCTGGCGAGCATTTGACAAAGACTTCAGCTGAAGCCAATGCACAACTAAATGTGATTGCTCAACTCGCATCCGCCAAATTGCACGCAGTTGCGAGAAATATAGATGGGAAATTAACTGCGCAAGAGCTCAATGTCAAATTGAATCAAATCGTTAAAGACACCAATGAAAAGTTAAACGAAACAACTAAAAAAGCAAATTTGCTATTAAAAGAAAACGCTAAAGAAGCATTTGTGAATTTATCCAAAATTTCAAAACAGGCACAAGAATCTTTAAATAAAACATTAAAAAACAAAGTGAAACTTGAAAAGGAGGAAGAACAATCACAGATAAATAAATCAGGAAAACATAGCGAATCATCAGAACCAGGCACTAGTGGCGCTAAAAAACAAAGACTCCGTGCTTCGAAACCCGGTGTGTTCGAGACCTTTGTTGTATGTAATATAGACTTAAGCCGCGCCAACCTACACACGATAGGTAGACCTGACAAGTACAGATAAAGAGCAAAACTGCACTTAATCTTGCGTTTGAAGGCGTGACTTCATAATTGCTATTATATTTCTTTTATATTTCTAATGTACAACTCCGCTCAGTTGTGTATTAATTACCAGCGGGACAGAAATCATTTCTTGCTAAAAAAAAATCTTCTGTCACAATTTTAGTAGAATGAACTTAAGTATACCAAATAGACGAAAACTTAGATAAAAATTAGAACGTACCCACTAAAAAGGGAATGCTTTATGGAATAGAGAAGAGTGACTGTCCTGAGAGGAGACCATTGCACAGATGTTGCGAAATGTTTGGGTTGATACATAGGGCGCCCTATAAGTTTCCGGAACTGACCACTTACATAAACAATATTTAAATAGTAATTACAACATTTGAAAATGGAACTCTTTGGCTGTAGAGTACAGTTTGTTTCATCTGACTGTCACTTGTTTTTACATTGTGGCGTCTAAAATGACGCTGAATTGGTTGTCTACATCACCATGGATTTAACTCGTGAAAATTTTCGTAGTATGATTTTCTACGACTTTAAGTGTAATTTAACAGCTCAGCGGAGCTTCACTCGGCTTCAAACTGCTTTTGGCGATGAAGCGCCATGCAAGATGACTATTTATAGCTGGTTTGCCGAATTTAAACGCGATCGTGCGAATCTCAGTGACGGATTTCGTGATGGTCGCCCGTCCACTGCGGTGAACAACAAAAACATCAATGCTGTGCGGCGTATGATCAAAACAGATGTCACATACCATGAGATTCGGGCATCTTTAGGCATAGGCATGAGTCAAATACAATCAATACGACACAAAGATTTGGGTGTGAAAAAGCTGTGCTCTCGGTGGATCCCACACAATTTGACTGAGGCAGCAATCGAGCGTATGGGTCTTTCGAGATGAGCCGAAACCAACAATAGTGGCGCGCGTGCTAAGTGCTTCTAAGCGGATGATTGCTTCTTTTTTTAATAAAACTGGACACGTGGCTACTATTGCTGTGGACAATCGTTGTACCGTGAATAGTGATTGGTACACGACCATTTGTTTGCCGGAAATTATTGACAAATTTCGTAAAAGTAACTGTAAACGCCGTATCGCCTTGCACCACGTTAATGCCAGTTCTCACACGGCCAGACAGACAAATGAATTTTTGAAAGTGAACAACGTTGACCTTATGAGCCATCCCGTCTACAGTCCCGACCTTGCACCTTGTGACTTTTATTTATTTCCAAAAATTAAGAACCAGTTACGCGATTAACGATTTTCATCACCTGAAGAGGCTGTCGAAGAGTATGAAAAATATATTTCAAAGATTGTCACAGAGGAGTGGCATAAATGTTTTCAAAATTTGTTCATTCGTATGAAAAAGTGCATTAACGCTAACGGAGAATATTTTGAGAAACAATAAATTAATTTCTGACCATTTATAGTATTTTTTTCTTATTCATTCCGGAAATTTATAGTGCGCCTCACGTACAATATATTACAAGATCGATGAAATTGACGAATGTTTGAAGTTGGGTCTTCGTGTCGCGCCTCATTTGCGCCTTTTTCTTCGTCGTTGCACTCCTAGCCGCTGCCAAATTTGCTGGCGAACGGAGCCGACGCTCCGATCGCCTGTAACTGCGATCGGCCCTCTCCCGATAACTCGGCGACCTCCTTCTGAAACATCACCGCTTCACCGAAGGAGACCACTGGCTCATGGAACTCTTGATCCGCCAGCATAACCGCTACTATGTCTGGCGGAGAGAGATCTTTCCAGATCGGGACTACCAGGGTGTTCCGCTCGGAAGCCCAGGCTCATTCGCTCTGCCTTAACTTGTAAAGTTTGGACGTTGGATTGCTGCGAGAGTGGTTGAATCATTTTATCCAATTCATCCTAAAACATTTAGACACCCGTCACCAATGTTTTGCGTCCCTAGTCCCTACTATTTTTCCTACGATTCCAACATCATTTTAGGGAGGTATTGCGTGCGCGCTCTTCACTAGTAGAATTTGATTTTGGATATTTCTTACTAATTGACTTTTTGTGGATAATATGATAATATATCTAATATGAAGTTTCCCGTAAAAATATGTAACTTGAAAACGTTTGCATTAAAATATTTTTTGCAAATAGATATAGAAAGTGTGTGATGGAAGATGATGATAACGAACGTTTTAACTCATGTAGCGCCCAGGTGCAATCTGTTATATTTTTAACGAACCATAACTTTAGATTTTGAACCATGTCTACAAAATTACACTTAAGTTTGATTAGCTAGTATCCAAAATACGATGAAGCCACATATAAACGGAACCTTGTTAATCTATCCCCAAAACGTACAATATGACTGTCGGGTATAGCCTATCGTGCGTGGTTTTGTAGAATTGGCGCGTCAGTTAGTACTTATTGTTGTTAAATCAACAATGAATGTAGTTGATAGAAAAATGAACCGCAATGGGCGTCATTATACATCACAGCGTATTTACATGTATTTTAAGACCATCATTTTTATTTCGCATTCACCATTACGTACAATCCTGGTACCAGTCTATTACTCGTTTTAAAGAGTACAATAATGTACTCATTAATAAACATTAATATAAATTAATGTTTTTTTTTATTTATTTCGAATTGTTGTCCGTGTCCTTTGACTGGTATCTTCCCTGGTGAATGATTCTTTGATAAAATAAAAGGTTTTATGATGCAATTTGGTTTGGAGTCGACTTTTTCGTGCATAAAACGCGTAATAGAATGCATTTATATTTGACCTTGACTGCTATAAACACAACTAATGACCCGTTCACACGGTTATGATTCCCAGCGAGTGAATTTGCGCATAGCAGGTTCTGTGTACGTGAAAAGGTTTTGCGAGTCTCGGAAAACGCAAAGATGGCTTGTTTAAGTTTACTTACATTAGAGCTCAGCCGTGTACTCGGGATTTAAGTTTTCTAAACTCGGGAGAATTAATTAATTGTATTTAACTCGTTTGTGGACAGTACTTAAATATTACAACACAAAAACATGTTACTACATGTCTTTGTGTAATTGATTCAATATAAAATGTTCAATGTAAATAATTGAATTTTGTCAATACGTTATTCTCTATGGAGAAGCAGTAGGCGGCAGCTATACAGAAAGCACGCGGAAATCGCATTGTAAAGCCTGTAGGTTTTCAAAATCCCGGTACTATTATGATCAGGGGCCTTATTGTAAGTTTTCATATATGTAACTTAACTATCGCGTTTGCGTTAAATTTTTAAATTAAACCTTATGAATAAGGTCTAAATAAAATTTTTAACGCAAACGCGGCAGTTAAGTTTGGATGATTACAAATTGCACTAAGGCCTCCGAAATCGGAGGCCTTAGTGCTTTTACGGCAAGCGCTATTGCTGTTCACGAACGCGTTAACTTATCACTCGATTTCAGGCCTCCCGTGGCTGCACTCAACCAGTCAGTTGATACCCGACTGACTGGTCGAGTGCAGTCAAGAGTCGATGATAATTGATCCTTCGTAGTCCATAGTAATAATTTACTTATTCTCTTCCACAGTGAAATTTAAATCTAAGGACATGACGTACAATGTAACAATTTGATTGTGAAAGACTGATGTTCAAACTAGATATAACCCTGTGTCTTGAGCTTAATGGCAGCGTCTCGCAAATTTTGTATCGAGATCTCGACGCCTGGCGTAGGTCGAGGCGGTTCTTATTTCACACTATCAATAGGAAGCCGTCGTCGCGTCGTCGCGTCGCCGCGTCGCACTTGTTTAAATACCGCGCTCTATGTGTGGAGCTCTTTAGACCAATTTTATTTCGGTCAAACTGTAATGTTATCTATGTATCTTGTCAGGTGGGAACGGATCAGGACAAGGCAACGAAACGGAGGATGAGGACCATGAGTTCTTCGATGCCATGGAGGAGGGCGTGTCGTCAAACGCTGACGACAAAACTGCTTTTGTAATGAAAGTACCAGTGAGTATTCTCAGTATCAATATGGTCTGCATCGCGAAGACCTGTTCCACGTTTCGTCGTGATACCGTGATTCGTACAATAAGTATTTTTATGCCAAGGCTACCTAGGACGTACGCGTAGGCGACACGTGATTGAAAAAAAAAACTTAAAAATGTACTGCGTAATTCCTATTAGTCTATTGTTATTAAAAACTGTTTTAATCGACAATAATACTGCAGCTTTATCATAAACAAAACAATAAACGTTTGCACTCGGAAGTTTATTCTGGAGCAAGAAAGAATTGAACATAGTTTTTTCCCTAATCTGTGTGATTTACTAACGACGCCATTAAGGTCTCAGACCCAACAAACATTTTCATTATTTTAATACTCTCGTTTCGTAGTTTGTCTCTGGATTTTTTGTGAAGAATTCTATAATTCTAAGATCACAGGATACAAGTTCGGTTCAATGTTTCTTATTTTTGTAAGTAATTTTGATTTTAAATTAAAAAATGATGCTAGATATAATATGATATTGTATTTTTGTAAAGTAATTTTTTACTGTTTTTTTACTGATTTTTATTGTAGTCAAAAATCGGTTGTAGCGTCTATTTCTTTTTTTGTTGCTTTTCGCGGATAGCGTTTTAGCCACTTACGAGGTTTTCGACTTGTTTTTAAAATGGGGAAACTTATAATAACATAATAATAAAATTTGGAACAAGGATTATACAAACATATAACTACAAAAATGTTTTACAAACACTATTTTGTTTTGCCATAATGTGTTTTTACAGTCATCTTTTATTGATAATTGAAATAACGGTTTAATCGCTTTCGTATTGAAATGCATTGGGATATTAATCCCCGTCGAGTCTGGCTTCGTACACGGGAACAGTATTTTTTTTTCTTTCTATTACTAAACCATCACGTTTGTTGATAGAGCCAGCTTCAAATAGTGATGTAACACTTTACAGGTGTGGGATCTTGCCAAGATCTCACTCAACTTCTAATTGCCACGCTCTTGGCAGTCGGTACAAATTTTGCAATTTTAATACATAAGGAAACGCTGTAGGCTTTTTCCTGGTCTGATTTGTATTAACCGCTTGGTGGTGACTATGAATACATCAACCGAATTAGGCACTTCAAGTTATTCGCTTTCATATGTTCACTTAGTAAAATACATAAATAAATGTACGTAACTAACAGTCGCTATTATATATCCTTAACACATAGCGTCATACTTCATTCATGGAGCACGCGGTGAATGTTCGCATTGCAGGTTAACAGAAAGAGCAAAGTGAAGAGTGGCGAGAGTTCGGATGAGTCCGAGGGAGAGACAGTAACCGAAACACAGCAGGTCAGTGCGTTTTTCATTTCATTGAGATGTCTTCGCTGTATTGCTTAAGACTAATTTTCCTTTCTAACGATTTGGCTCCTAATGCAAATTGACCGCGTCAAAGGTGGCCATGTGCATTTATGCTGTCTTTTTTGAAGACGGAGTAAAATGGCGGTTCATTGCGCAAGTGTTGCCCGCTTGTGAGCAGCTAGCGATCGCTGTCGATAAATATTCTATCGACTATCTATTGAATATTGATCACGCTTATGGAACAAATAGCCGAACTTGTTTCATTTGAGTCATCTTCGACACATTATTCATCCAATTACTGAGCACAAGTTGGTTTCAATTGTTATTTTTTAAGTTCGTTCATACATACACTGTATTCTGAACTATGTTTATGAAAAATACAGTCTTTAAAATAAATTCTTCTTAAAACGTATACTAATAAACATTTTTCTCGACACTAGAAGGCCAACTGTCAAAATAAGAATAAAGTAGGCAGTAACGCAATAGTAATCATTAGAACGTCCTAACATTCACAATTCAGTTATTTTTGGCAAAATTTTATTAAAAAAAATTCTTTCACAGTCTGTCGATAAAACTATCGACAACAATTACATAACTATTTAAAATTTTATGAAACTGGCATCCCTACAAATGTCACTTTACTCCGTTACGTCCGCTATACTTGACTGTCTACACGGTCAAGCTTCGACGTAAGTAAACTTAAGCAAGCCAAGTACATATTTGTATGTTTGTGTGTTTTCCGTAAAGACGTGGATAGATACACAATCGTGAACTTGGCGTGTGCAACATGTCTTGTACTAAAGCTCAATCGTGTAGGCGGCCCTTATTGTCACGCGTGGTATTTGGATGTGGAATGCATTTGGTAATGACACAAGCCGCGTCGACACTATAAAGGGTAGTACGCGGAAAGAAAAAGGACTATAATATTTGTTGTGTAAAATTCAAAAGTTCACGGGAAATTTTAGTTAATTACTCAAGAAATTTAATTGACTTATTCAGACATTGACTTACGTTACATTTACAAAAAAAAAAAAAGAATAGTCGTGTAACAAAAATGTCGTCAATGGGAGGCTTATGTCCAGCAGTGGATGCGTGTAAGCTGATATTTATATTTCTATATTTTTTTTTTATGAAATGGACTTGCTCTTGACCACTACCTAGCTCTGGAGCAAAGATAGGACCTACGAAGGAACGAGCTCGCCCAGAAGATGCCTATTCAGTCGCACTTCAAAGATACCCGGGCTGTATGAGTTCTGAAACACAGTCGCAGCCAGAGAATTCCATTCCTGGGCTGTGCGCATAATAAAAGATGATGAAAAGCGTTTAGTACGCCTGAAGGGAATATCTACTAAGTAAGGATGATATCTCGCCGTACGTCCGGATGTCCGATGGTAAAAGGAGGCGGGCGAGATGAGCTGATGGAGCTCACGGGCACACTCACCGAAATATATTCTGTAGAAAACCAACAGACGGACAACTTTGCGCCGGTGGGCTAAACTATGGAGTTTAGATTCAAGCTTATCGATAGAATTTACAATGTCGGGTAAAATTTGCAATGAACCGGACGCTGAAACTGTAGCCTTTTTTCGAGCAAGTGACGCCTCACTTGTTTCGTACATAAAGTACGTTTTATTCAAAATTATTATATATTCCATTGACTTACAATTATATGGACGTCGGGTCCGCGCTAAAAAGTGTCCTCACTTGTAAGGCGCTAAAATCGTATACAGAGCGCCAAACTACGCTTTAGTCTTCATTTGTTCGACTGACAGCGCGATACTGCGATGACATTACAATTTAAATTTCGAATAGGTTGACTTGGGACATTTTTTTCGTGGTTTTTGTATTAGACCCGTCGTCCATTTATTTGTAAGTCAATGATATATTCATTGTTAAAGAAACGATTCTAGCTCGCATATTTAACCCTTATACTCTTTTGACATGTGTCATACTTTACACCCGTAAGCTCGCACGCTGTCATGGCAACGATAGTAAATATTTGCCGACATTTACAAAAGTTGCGATAATTCAAAAACTATCAAACGGTTTTACTTGAAATAAAAAAAAAAGTATTCTGCGATAATGTTGTATTTTTGTGGTCAGTAATTCAAAGGGATTTATCACCTCATACCATTATAATTACTCGACAAACTTACACACAAGGAAAAATAGTAGGTGTTGGTTGTAAATAAATCATTTTTGAAAATATTAGGCAACTTCGATCAAATAAGTTATACAATTTGTAATGTTGAATGTATAGCTAAAAATCCTACATAAGTGGTTTTATGTCTTTCAATAAAGATAACAGAGCTAAATGCCTTAGAACTAAGCGGCCATTTTCTGACTGTCGGATAGCGAATGTAAATTTGTATTATCAAGTAATTGTTGATCTTCAACCAAATTGGAAAATAAATTAGTTTCATTTGAAGAAAATATACTTATTTCATTGAAACATACATTGAATTATAGAAATATTCAACAGATAATAACAAGCAAGGCTTTATGAGATAGGGATACCCCATTTGCATCTCGTTTTTCTTTTGTCTTATACTCTTACTAGAAAGATTTTTCAGGTGAAATAAAACAACGTATATTGTAACAGAATAACTGTATTTTTCTCTGTTACACTCATTTTAGACGTCATTCAAACAAAATATAAAAGAAAATCATAATCAAAACCGTCACTTATTTGTATGAAAAAGTTGAGTGAAATAGTGATGTACCGATGCCGATTGAGGTATCGATAAATCACGTACAAATGATGAACCATGCTACTAAATACTAAAAGTGAAAAAAAGAGACGAATGGGTACATAAAAGGTCTTACGATACAATATCGAAGTTTTTTTTGACAACTTATTATAAAATAATGAACTCCTGCACCACCAACACCAAACCAGATGCAATATATCATAATCATAATCATATAAACAAATTATTTCTTTTTTATCACGAGTGGTAAGGTCATATAATGTTATCACTCTCGTACATAAACTGTCTTACGATAATATATCGATAAATCGATATATTATGGTCGATGCGTTATGGGCAGTATAATGATTATCGAAAAAACTCTGCTACTAGCCCATGAAACTAACTCGTTGGCTTGCTCCTCTTCCTCGTCGGTATCGCTGGCTCTGTAAAGAAAAGAAAGATACTATAGAATAAGAACATCTGTATACAAATATTGTGATAGTTTTGTACCTAATTAGAGCATAATAATACTTACACAACGTCTGATATGGGTTCTGGCCTCGCCATAGGAGCCAGAGTTCCGTCGCTCTGCACCACGAAAATATTACTTCCAGATAATAGCTGCAATGAAACAAAATTGTTATTACTAGCACAATATTTCAAAAATATCGTAACTACGACCAACATTTATCTTAACAAAAATACCCAATTTACAATGTGAGACGCATGTATATTTTTTATCCTACCCTATACAACATTATCGCCTACACCTCTTGTTATGGTTAACTCAACCACTTATGCTCATAACGAAATTCTTTGAAATCAGTTTTGTTAACGTAAGTGGCATAAATCATAGCAAAAGTAAATGTGACCCTTCTTTGTTTCACTACAAAGTGGGGCCACTTTATAGTGAAACAAACAACACTCCAAAAAAAAAAGGGTCGCGTCTGGCAGAGCAGGTAGCAAGGCAGGACAGAGTCACGCTTTGTTTCTCTGAAGTACTTTGCTAAAGAATTTGCACTAACTAAACAAATCTGATTCCCACTGGACCGTCTATTGGCACATTAAGATAAGCTTTGAAGTAACTGAGCATTTCATGAAGGGAACACGGGCGGCCACACTGGATAGGAATGTGAATGAATGTTTATAATTTGGGCTGCGGATGCGGAGGTCCCGCGTTTGATTCCCGACCGGGTCAACGTAGAAAAACTAACTTTTCCATATTGTCTTGGGTCTGGGTGTCAGTGGTAACTTCGTTGTTTCCGATTTCCATAACACAACTTACTTTAGCTACTTACTTTGGGATCAGAGCAACGTATGTGATATTGTCTAATATTTATTTATGCATATAAACATTACCTACGAACATATGTTTGAGTATAATACTATCTGTTACTCACGTTCAGTTGGTCGATTTGCGCTGCTAGGTCGCCCTCCTGTTCAATTTCCTCCTCAACGATCTCCTCATCTGACTTAGACTCCTCATCGTTGAGGATATCAATGAAATCATTGGGCACGCTTTCGTTTCCGGGGTTCCACGTCTAAAAAACATTATCAGTGCTGTATAAATTAAATACATACACAAAATCGTACCTTCCTCGGGTAGGCAGAGACCACAATTTACTACTATATAAATTATGTACAATAAACATTTTTACAATTATTTACTATAAAATAACGGTACGGAATATTTTATCCATATTGTAGCGGCACTTATTATTTTTTAACAATTATACCTACCTTGTTAGATACTTGGTTATCGAATCTTAGAACAAAAAAGGAAAAATGAAAGTAACAATATTTTACACTTTTCGTTCACAGATTGTCTTATCGATGTCACCTACATCGACATGGAAGCACTATTGCGAATATGGCGTATAAAAATGGCGGTCATATTTTTGCAACATGTCAAATAAAAGCAGAAATTTACGAAATTTATTCGCTTTCGATCAGAAATATAGGCAGAATCCTATAAAAGGATGTTGCACTTGTATTATTATTACATATTATATACAACCAAATGTTTCTTTTAGTCAAATAACACATTATAAAGTATTTGAAACACAGAAAAAGTCGTACCGATAACTTTGAAAGTGAAAATACTTACGTATTACTGCACTCACAATTCATGTTATGATAGCATTACTTAGGTAAAAGTCCAATGCATATTTTCTATTAGCAATCGGAACAAAATTCACTCACTTTTCACTTGAAAACACTTATTTGATAAACTCAAACAACGCGCGCGAGCACTTCGTTCGCCGGGAATTTTCAAACTGATATAACTCGATACCACAAACAAAAGGTCACGAGTATTATACACCAAATGAAAGAGCACACCATCAGCTTTGTTTTCACGTACAAACCATCAATACTTACAAGGATTTGGCTACACTAAAAAAATCTTTTCAAATTGGTAGCGTATGCGTATGAATTCATACGCATGCTGAGCCTACGGTAGTAGAGCATTGTGCGTATGAAAACATACGCATGCTGAGTTTAAGGGTTAATAAGTTTATACAAATATTCAAATGTTATGATATAAATTTGTGTACACACGCAATTTACAGTTACGTCAGTTTGTGGATAGCGTAGGTATTACACTTTAGCCATCACTTGTTTTTTTTATTTGAATCGTTAAATTTATGCGTGAGTCACGATACAAACTTTAAACAAAGGACAAAAGAAATGTAAAAATTCTCAAAATCGCTTTCTCCCCTCCTTCTGGTACCTTAGTAATAATCACATTCAATTTAACCATAGCGTGGGTACAAGGACACTATAGCACGCTTTATTCTCTTTGCTTTCAAAGTATATATCTGTCGCGTGGACATTTGGCAGTGTGAACAGTGCATATTTATTTGAAATAGGTAAGCAGCTGTAGGACGTAGGTATACAGCATATGCTTGAATGACCTCATTTTTCGTTTTATATAATTCTAGTAACTTCATGGAACAAATTTCTATTGTGAATATATTCATATGACATAATATTTTCTACATTTATATGCAGTAACCTTTTGCAATGTGGACATTGATTGAGGAGGGTTCGATTCCAGGTAGGTCTAATTTGATTTTGGTATCTTTTTATTATAATATCAAGTGACGGGACGAACAAGTGCGCCTGATGGTAAGCTACACGCCTGTCCATAACAGTTGCGGTGCCACACACGAGTTTTAAATCGCAAAGATCTAAGGGGCAATGCCACTGCGCCCGTCACTCTGAGACATAAATTGAGAAGTCCCATGTGCCTGTAATTTCACCAGCACCCTTACCTTTCAAAAGCGGAAAACAGTAATGCTGACATTACTGCTTGGTGGCAGAAATAGGTAAGGTGGCAGTACTACCCTGGACGAACTCTTTCACAAGGAGCTCTACTGTTCTAAACCTGGTCCTGGTGTTCCGGATAATGCCCCGGAGTGCATGTTGCTCTGGTACTCATAATACAGTGAATTCCATACTTTCAAGGCCAGGTGATTGGTTGTGTTTTACATTTACTTGCTCTCGCTGATCTCCAAACAAAAAAACAAATTCATAAATAAAGCGAGTAAACCGCCAATTTCACTTTAAACAAACATTGTAATCCGTCTATTTAAAATAGTATATTTTTTATCGAGGAACTAAAACAAGCCAATATATAGCCAAGATGGTTAGTCACCCGTGTCTATTAATTACTCCGAGGGTTTATATTGGTTTTTAGTCTCGAGGAAAAAACTTTACTTTTCAATTCGATTGCGAGAAAAAAATATTACTATCGTTTTCGCTCTGCATCGAGTATAACCAACCACAACAACTAGTAATAGAGACGAAATAAGGGCCATCCACCCCTGGCAACTCATCAGGCAAATCGGCCTTATATCACTTAAAAACCAACTCGCGTTTGTGCTGAAATCACAAATTAGAAAGCTGAAATAGTACAGCGCCAACAACTGACCTGTTTGTACGGCTCTGTATATTCCAAAAATATTCTGTATTTATTGTAATAAAGATAATGGGGGCATTTGGAGTGGGAAAAACGGCAAAACATCTAATTACAAAACAAACGGAACGGACTTCATAGGTATTTAAATATTAAATATGTAATTTTTCTATTTTCGTCCATTATAGCAAAGCTCAAATTAAACTGGTCGATTTGAAGTGAAACCATTGACGACACCAGTAAATTGTTTCGAATTCGGGCTGGCCAGTCGGTGCGCAGTTGTCACAGTATTGATTTGGCAGAATAATTTTCAAACAAATTAAATGACATTTCGTCTCTATTTCTGGTTATAATTATTCTATGTCGTTCTGCAATAAAATTACGAACCAAAATTCTGAAGCTTTCGCGGTATTTTTTTTCCCAACCACGACACAGTTATAACAAACGCACTAACGCGGAAAAATAATATGGCGCCACCGTCTATTCGGAAAAAGCACGGAACTAAAATCGAGTGTACTACTGGCTGTTTCAGTTTGTTCACTCAAACTAAATTGAAAAATTAGTTACTTTTTAGTCCCTAGGGATTAAAGGATGCACTTTACTCCCTTTACGTAGGCCTATAAACATGTACTTTTAGAACATCAGAAGTGAAATGGTAGATTGTACAACAAGTGCAAAAAACGAGTGTGGATAAAATGGGTAAAATGGGTTTTATGAACGAGTTATACACTCTGCTTTTTTCTTCGATTGCGAAGAAATTAAACAGCAATATTACAAATAAACGATTATTTAATTTAAATTGAAAGTAAAATTACAACAATTAGACATAACAGGGATTTAAAAAATAAAAGTAAAACTTTATTATAATTATTAATACAAAGATCGAAATAAAAATTTAATTAGTAAAACTTTATCTTATAAAGTTCTAGTGTGCGTGGCTGTTGGCGCAGGCGTCATTGCCTCGGTCTTAAACGACGATTTTATTTTATGCACTAGAGCATAAAATCCTATTTTGTGCAGCCTACACCCAACATAAATACGAACTTTCAAGAGCATGAGAAGTGAAAATGTTATTTTTGCAGAGTAGAGAAAGGGAGAGAGAGAGAGAGAGAGAGAACACCGACCTAAACGAGACTGTTTATGCTTCTCGCTTGCACCTGTGCGGTCCTAATTTTTCTAACTCTATCATAAGTCGGTATCTTTCGGTTTAGTCTGTACTTTGGGTGCGTGAAAACAGGCCAGAATAAAGACGTTTATCATTGTCACACCCCGGACACTCCATACAACGGTCGAAATCATTTACCTACTACTACTACATACAGCAAGGCGCTATCTGCACATGCGCAAATGTGTGCGTGAAGTGGCAGGGTCACCCATCACTTTCTTGCACTATTACCTTACGTGATCAGAGCGGCAACATAGTGAAAATGCTAACGCGAATCTATCATCTATGATTCTATTAATAGAATCAATCCATCCTAATAATTACACACATCTATTACGTATTTATATCGATATAATATCATATTTTTCATTAACTCACTAACTAGAGTAATATTGAACATTTATTTAAAAAATATATTAAAAGCACTTAAAATTTTATATTTTGGACATGTACTTTTAAATAAGGTAACCAAGGTATTTGAAATTGCGTGTCCAAGTTGATCATCATTACTTAGTTAATAATTAGGTATATTCGCTACTTACGTAATATTTATCGGCAATATGAATTGAAAATTCGAGAACCCTTGTCTACTAACTAGCTCACGAAGTCATGGCGCCTCATTATATTGATATAATAAATCTGTATTTTCATACATACATTATATTACTCTGCAGTAAATAAATGAAGAAAACAACTGAATGAGTCTCAGACATAAGTTTTTTTTACTTACTTACTTCGTTTCATCTTTCAGAAAATAATGATAAACAGCCGTACACAGCACTATTCACGACCTTTATAAATAGTAATGTGAAATAATGTTTTATATTAACGTACAAGTTTCGTAATGAATCAATGAAAACTATACTGCCCTGCTAAGCCGAAAGGCGCAATCTCTGAGATAAGCTTTTTTCGTTTTTTTATACCATTCAATAGCTACAATAATTTCGCATCTAATGGTATAATAGAAATACCGCTATCTAACTTAAAACATTTAAAAAACCACTAAGAAGTGTTTTTAAACACAATACAATTACATAAAATGCAATTTATAAAGAGTCGATTTTCTCAAAACTTACTCCGATTGAGATAGCGCTTTTCGTCTTATCAGGGCAGTATATTCAAATATCAAAGCCGTCTTCGTCTGAAAACGGCTCGCCGCGGCGCGCCGGCAGCCTTGTTGTCGTTCAGTCAAAGTGACCGGCAATGTGCGAGGCGTGGTGCGGTATCTAAAGCTAGGGAGGGGCGGAAAGTGCCCGTTCTCTTTACTTTTTGTTCTCTGTCATTGTAGTAAAAAAGAGAGGTACTTAGTTTGTGGAATTTTAGGCGTTCTATTCAAAAGAATTGTACATAGTAATGGTACACCGGATGAACTATATAAAAATGTCGTTGATTAATATAATTTGAGCCTAGATGAGTCAATATCTTAGATAAGGTTATAGAACATGTAACATGTACCCTTCGCCCCGGGTATAGAGCACAATAACAAGCTTTCGCCCGTCTTCTGGTACTCTAGAAGTGGAAGTATGCCGTAGTCTTATGGCACAATAACTCATTTGCTATTCAAGTGGAACTTTTTCAGCCATTTCCATCCATTTCATCTGCTTGTTTTAAATTTTTTTCTAAACATAATCGCAAAATGAAACTAATTACAATTAATAGATTACAATATTACTTCGATATTGTTTGTTCCGGTGATAGAAATGTGTAGAGCTAAAATAAAGATTATATTATATGGTCATTTTTGTTATAGTTTGTTATCGGTGCAGGTTCTTAAAATTGTTAATGATTTAGAGATCATTGATTTGATTTCTCAAAAAACGTTACACTTAGAAAAAATATCAAGAATAATTCATTAACATCACTTTATTATCTTAAACGGTAATATAATTAAATCAAGTAATGATTTATTACTTTTTGTTGGCAATGTACAGCGAAGTCATTGCGCGCCTTTGTTTGGTGTTCTAGGTCGTATTCGTGAAGGACAAAGAAGGCGAAAATATGGGTGGCGTGTCTGAGGAGGCGGCCAGTACCGTCACTAAGCCCAAAGAAGACATCAAAGTATGGGTGAGTACCAACGTCCTTGAGGGACCTACATCTTATTTTACCTAGATTTTTTTTCTACACTACCAAGTGACGGGACGAATAGGTCGTGCGACTGGTGGTAAGCGACGCGCCTATCCATAACAGTTGCAGCGTCATTCATAGCTTTAAATCGCAAAGATCTTTAAATGGGCACTGCGACGACGCCCGTCACCCTGAGACATAAGTTGACAAGTCGCATGGGCCTATAATTTCTCCAGCACTCTTACCCTTCTAAATCGGAACGCAGTAATGCTCACATTACTGCTTGGCGGCAGAAATGGGTACGGTGGCAGTATTTCCCTGGACAAACACTTTCACAAGAAGCTCTACTGCTACTAAAAGATTTAGTAGCAGTATAGCTCCTTGCTAAAGAGTTCATTTTTCACCTGTTTCTGTCGCAAAGCAGTCCAATTTTAAAGGTGCAGGTGAAATTACAAGGACATGACATTTGGCAACTATGTCTCAAGGTGATGGGCGCAGTGACAGGGCCACTCGGATCTTTGCGATTCTTTTGCGTGGTACAACAACTGCTATGGATAAGTGTGTCGCATACCACCATGCGCACAACTTATTCATCCTACTAATATCATAAAAAAGATAGTTGCGAATGCTTTTACATTAAACGTTTTTCATATTCTGTCGATAATTACAGACTTAAAAAAAGGAGTTTCTCAATTTTGCCCTCAGAACGAAAAAAGGCACAACTGCTATATGAAGTAAGCATAGTTGTGCCTTTATTCGTTACGAGGACAGAATTGGACTGTATTTTTTTGTATGTATGTTAGGGTATGTACAAATCTAGCGAATGCGTCGCACATGCGCCTGTTTGCGAAAGGCTCGCGAGAGACATAAATACGGTAACATGTATTTAATTGCACGCATACAGCACGCGTGCAGCGCGCGCGAGCGCACACGCGATAACTCAATTTATGAATCGATTTTGATGATTCTTTTTTTGTTCGACAGAGGATATATAGTTGAAGATATATTATTCGCGCCGCGATCTCTTTCAAGGACTTATCCTTTCTATTATAATAGGGTTATAAAACCATTAACACTTCTTTTACTCACTGCTTCTTCTGAATTCTAGTACTGAATTATTTCGTTAATCATCAGGCCGTTTTTTTTAAACCTGTATGTAACGCACTAAGTCTGTTTGGTCTTTCAAAACTCCTCTCAAAGCTCATTATCTTACACTCTTAATTTTTTTCTCATGTTCTTACCTGTTTTAGATCTTATGTGTTGTTATTATTATGTTTTATATAATTCTTCTTTCATTTTGTGTAATCATATGTATTTTTTTGTTATTTATTTATTTTTATTTATTTAAGTATTTTATTTATTTATTACTATTATTTTGGATGTCTGTTTTAGACTATTTTTATGAATATCTTTCTTTTTCATTTGTGCATGTGCACATATATGTTTTAAATACGTCTTCTGTTGCACTCTCAATTAATTACTATCTCACAGTTTTTCCTGTAACCCGAAGGTTGCATGGAAGAGATTGCTATATAGCAATAAGACCGCCTGTTGTACCTGTCTTTTTATTTTTTGTTTTTTTTTGTACTTTGTCGTAAAATACCGACTGTCGATTCTTTTCTTACTAATTCAACGAAGTTATTTCCGCATGACGTTTATCAAGTTTGAAATTAAGTGCCAATACGTAAAGATATTTAAACTAGTTGTTTGCACTATATAGGTGACACGTGTGTTACTGAGACGGCTCATTATTTAGACCTATTGTACTCTAATGATGAAGCGATAAGACGAATCAGTGTAAACATTGACCTACCAACAAATGGACGTCGGGTCTGATTCAAAAACCACAAATAAAACGTCCGAGGTTAATCTATACAACCGTAGTGACATATAACGAAATGTAAAAACTAAAACATTTCATTTAAATTGTAACGTCATTGCAGTACTACCTAATTTTGCTTGCAAGAATTTATGGGCTCAAAAACACCATATTCAGCTTCTACTGGAAAGGAGATCCGCCAAATCCCATACAAAATTACCCCAGGCCCGGCGCCAAAATAATGTAACTCAATTTTTAGAGTAAAAATAGCAAAAATATTATATACTTTCGGTATTGCTAAATTCACATGCTAACATTGTCTTTTTGCCCGTTGCATTTTAATAGGGGCTCTTTGTAAAATTAAATGTTTTAGAGAAATGTCGTCATTTTTAGTTCATTAATCTTGTAATTAGTCATTATGGCGTATAAGCATGTATGTACTGTACTGTAAACTATGAAATGTCTACGACGTTGCCGTAATGATCGTGTACACAAAATACAAACGTCTGCCATTTCACAAGAAAATCAAAAGTCCGGGAGGGTTAAACAAAGTAAAATAAAGATCAAGGTAAGATATCGCACAGTTCACAGTACACAACACAACAAACGTTAGCGTAGGACTGCGCGTGAGCAGAGCACGCCAAAGCAAAGCGGGCGTCTGCGTGTTTCTCCCTCTAAACCATTATATGTGAGCGAGACAATAAGATGTATCCAGTTGTGCCCTCACGTCACAGGTGCGTTCATCCGTGCGTGTTCATCCTTTCTTTGCCGATTGCTTGAAGGTCATGCGGCCATTAAGTAAAGTCGCGTAAAGCGATAATATAACAATACAAATATACTTTATTTAAATTATTTGTTTGAACGTATTTGTTGTTGTACCTTTATGCGAATGTTGATATATTTATCATTATATAATACAAACAAAAAGCTAAAACTAAAACATTTGACTTGATTCTTCTATTTATTTATGGGAAGTTTATACTATTTTTTTTTCTAAATAAAAATATAACTGCAAATGAAATATGTTTATATAATATGATTGATATACATGCTTATATGCCATAATTATTTATTACAATGGTAATGAACTAAAAAGGACGACGCTTCTCTAATAAATAGAATTTTTCATAAAGCGCCTATGAAAATTCAACAGGCAAAAAAACTATGTTAGCATGTGAATTTAGCAATACCGAAACTATATAATATTATTGCTATTTTTACTCTAAAAACTGAGTTACATTATTTTGGCGCCGGGCCTGGGGTCATTTTGGCGGATCTCCTTTAACAAAATACACCATATTTAGCTTCAACTGAAAATTACTTGAACACAAGAGTAATGGAGTAAGTAGCCGTTATCGTAAATATGAATTAATTTTTATATATATTATTATGTCGAATTTTGTACAAATTCACCTAAAGAAATAATAATGTGTTGGGCAGATACATACATACAAATATTACAACAAATGTGGAAATAAGCGTGTACTATAAGAAATATACCGATATTCCAACTAAACGTAAACTCAAATATCCGTAGTTCCGAAAACCGATTTATAATAAAACGGGTTACGCTTTCGAGTAATTTTGATGCTTTTCACAAAGACAAAATTAGCTTTTGTTTTATAATCTTTCTAAAAAAATACATTTGACATTAAGAAAATTCGAGCTAACGTTATTTCGGGCAAATGTATTTTCTCACTTCTGATAGGTAAACTTCCCAAACCGTAAAACGAGTACAACACTATTTTGTTAATCATAGCTAACATATAATAAAAATAAAAAACATTTTAAAAATAAGATTAAAATCGAAGCGACTCTTTAGTTTCTTTGTTCTAAATATTTAAATCGCTTGTGGTTCGAACAATTGAAAATGACCAAGAAGGTTATAATAAGTTTCTTGAAATTGACATAATGGGTCTCTTTCCATCTTTTGCGCATGCAATGTGTAGAAAAAGGCCAGTTAGCTATTTGATTATTTTGTTTGCTTTTGTAATTTATATTTACGATTCATTTATATATTATTTAAATACTATACAACTGTACAAAATAACACTTTTAAATAAATGATAACACAATATATTAGTTTAGTGAAAATGTGGTACAAAATTCTGTTTCTACATTTTATTGCAGTAATTTTTACAAGTTATTATTATATATAGTACTGCATGTTGACAACCGCGTTGACAGTCGAACAAACGGAGACTTGCGCTATTGAGGCTCTGTATACGATTTTAACGCCCTATAGTTGCGGACACTTTTTAACGCGAACCCGACATCCATTTATTGGTACAATGAGCGTTAATAATATTTCGCCAACTATATCTCAGTAGTAGTGGTAAGCACTTTAAATTGTTTCATGCAGGTGGGAATTCGTAAATGGCATTGGATTAGTCATATTTATCTATACTATAATTTTATTATTTGTCCGTGAATTTTCCTAAATAAATAAATTTCGTAAATAAATAAGTAAAATAAACAATAAATAAATTAATGACCAGACATAAGAGCTGTTTATTAATACAAGCTTTAGATGCACTACCACAGTGCGTAGCTTATTCAGATGTATAATAATGAAAATGTATGTGTTCTATTCCAGCCGCACGTGTCACAAGTAGTGAGCATGGTGGACGGGCACACGCGGCGCTCGCGCGTGCCTGACAAACCTAACTACCCGCTCTCACTGTGGTCTATCATGAAAAATTGTATAGGTCAGTATAGTGAATCTCAACAAGCAATGTCAAAGTCTAACGCCTTGTAACATTGTGCTACATAATAATAATAATAATAATGCACACACTAAACATAGCATTTCCCCGCACTAGGGAAACCCTGAGTTGCGGGTGCCACGGACGGACACACACATAAACCACAAATTACATCCAAACTCACGAGAGAAAGAAATATTATTACAAATATTTCCTTCCGGCCCGGGAATCAAACCTGGGACAGTCCGGCATGGTAACCGTTCGGCTACTGAGGCAGTAGTGTTGCTTAGTGTACCTGAAACAATGCACAAAATTCCTATGAACAAGAATTTCTTTGTTTTATAAGTTTCTACAGCAGTTAAAATGCTGCTGAAATCAATTAGTTAATATATTCCCTAGTTATAATTGATACAAAGATTGAACAAACTCAATTAAAAATTCCTGCGATCCGGGTCGAACCAGCAACATTTTCACCCAACGCGGACTATCGCTCTTCCAGCTGGGCTATGGCCCATTCAACAGACCTTAAGGCGGATCCACACGCACGAACCGTGCATACCACGCGCCACGAACATGTAACACGCACGCGAACTGTTTGCGGACGCGTCCATACAATGTTCATGCTCATTCATGTAACGACGAATATGTGCACGTCATGAATATAATAACTTGGGCGCGAACCACTCGCGAACATGTCTAAATGTGTCCATACTATATTCGTAAGATGCACTCGAACTGCACTGCTCGTGCGCGTGCGCAGGTGTGAACCCGCTCTTATGAATTTTTTTATGCGTTTGCTACAGACCATTGCTTTTAACGGCTTTTTGCCGTAGCGCTAATCCGACTTTAAGAAAAGAAAATAACACAAAAATAATAATATTGTATATTATTTTCCATGATAACTTGTAGTAAAAAAGAAGAAAGAAAAATACACCAAGTTCACTTTTTATTGAATGTTTAAGTTAGTGTAGTGTTAATTGCTGGCGTCGATTTGTTAAGGCAAGGCAGCTTGTTGACCTTATTCAGTCTTTCAGTGTATTAATAATAAAATGCCAATATGCCGAACAGTCACACCAATAGCCTGGTCTGAAACTAGAGAAGTCTCTATACTATGAGCACCAGCGTAACAGGATTCACTCCGGAACACAACCCAGAACACTCGGACCATAACCAACTTAGAAAAGGTCATTCACAAATTGGTCGTACCGAAATCGAACTCGGGACCTCATCCAAAGCCGACAGCGTTGGGCCACCGAGGTCGTCAATTGTTTTGTTTGTCATCGTATTGTTTTGCGTATAAGACGACAGCATATCAGACTTGAAAATTGTAGCGTATAGAGTTTGATAATTTTGTTCGAACATCGCCCGTATGTAATATGCTTAAAGTGTTATGCTACATAGTACAGACGGCAACACATCAAGCTACACAATGACCGATCTTGTTTTGTTGCACTGGAGGCGAAATCCGAAAGTTTTTTTATAATATCTACACACCTGTCCATTACAGTTACAGTGCCACTCAGAGCTTTAAATCGCAAAGATCTGAGGGGCACCGTACTACGCCCGTCACCCTGAGACATAAGTTGACAAGTCCCATGTGCCTGTAATTTCACCAGCACCCTTACCTTCAAAACCGGAACACAGTAATGCTGACATTACTTCTTGGTGGCAGAAATAGGTAAGGTAGCAGTACTCCCCTGGATGAACTCTTTCACAAGAAGCTCTACTGCTACAAAAAAGTATATAGCTTGCTGTTACAGTTGACTCTACTGAAACGAAATTTAAAAAATGCATTGTGACATTACAGGTAAAGAGCTATCGAAGATACCGATCCCTGTGAACTTCAGCGAACCGCTGTCGATGCTGCAGCGGCTCACCGAGGACTACGAATACTCATATATCCTCGACGAAGCTGCCAAGTTCAGTGACCCCGCGCAACAGTTGGCATATGTTGCTGCCTTCACAATTTCTGCTTATGCTACTACCTCTAATAGGTAAGACCTTTTTTATGATATCAACTGACGAACAAACATGTGGACCTGGTGGTAAACGACATGCCTGTCGGTAAAGACCCCCATATGCGGGACGATTTGTCATTTCAGACTGATCGGAAGTACGAAACGATATTGTATGTTTATGTCGAAGCGATAGTGTGTGTGAACGCCAAGGGAGTAGCGACGGATAGATTATCGATATCATGACGATAGATCGACACGAAAAATTGTATATGAGGGCCTTAACAGTTGCGTGCCACTCAAAACTTTAAATCGCAAAGATCTGAAGGGTGCTGCACCTGCGTCTGTGACCCTGAGACGTCAGGTCCTATGTTGTCAGGCACATATTATTCTTAACACCGTCTTATAATACGTATTATTATGAACACCATCTTATAATACAATTTATGTTCACTGTTTTATAATTTATATCATAAAGGGTCGTATTCTAGAACTGTACTCAATGCTCAAGGCAGGACTTGAATATGATTTCTAGAATCATACTCAAGTCCTTGCCATTAGGGTTGTATTTCCAGTGCTTGAAATCATACTCAAGTCTGCTCAAATCCTGACTTGAGAATTGAGTAGAGTTCTGGAATACGACCCTATGAGCACTGTCGGATGGATTTTGTGAAAGATGACATGGATAAGAAAGGTGTGAGTATAGAAAATGGCTGATCGGCGAGAATGGAAGAAGGCTAGCACAACATGTTGTGCTGGCCCCACCTGGCGTTGGATAAGGACAGGAAGAAGAAAGATTATGAGCACTCTTATAATACTTATTATTATGAACACCGTCTTATATAATATGTTCCAGAACAAACAAACCATTCAACCCACTGCTTGGCGAAACTTACGAGTGCGACCGAATGACCGACCTTGGCTGGCGGTCCATCTCCGAGCAGGTAACGTCGTCGACACAATTTTTATTCGTCATCTACTTACCGGATTATGCCTTGTCACCTCGTTATTCACTCCCATGTACATATCTTTCAATTAGCTGTAACAGTACTGTTCACATTTTGAGCTGTAGCTCGTATCAAACTCGTTCTATCTGGATGCTGATAAGCAATAACGTGTCAACCAACAAGGTCACGGCTAGTTCTAAAAATTACTTATAAATTAAAAAAAAAAATCATTTATCATCATCATCATCATTATGATGATGAAATGAAATCCTCTGCTTAAAGGTAAAACTACATAAGTGATATTTTGCACAAAAAATCTCCAAATTATATGCCAGTTGTAAGGAATTCGCCATCTTTCTGCAGATAAAATTCTTATTAAATTTATAGCTTTTTTGTTATTGAGCTTCACGTGCACGAAATTAGTGATTTACTTACCACAGCTATATAAATTAAAGACTTTGTGGAAATCGTTATTTATTTGGTTTAACCTTTAAACACCCGAAATAATGATGAGATTTTGCTGTTGTGCTTGTTGTTGTTTGGGAATTATAGTAGTAAATCACAACAGTTCATCATTCTTAAAGTGATCGCACGTTTTACTCAGCTGCGACAAGATGTCGGATGCGGCAGTTAACGAGGAGAGATGATTTCATTTCTCACATAATACGTTCATCTTTTATGTGGTTTTCCTTTCTTCCTAACCCACAATTTCGTCTTTCGCGCGTCTTAGGACACACGGTGTCACTAATGTGCAACTGTGTTTTCATTCACCATTTTGAAATTTATAAAAATTAAAATATAATCTTTATGGACACCCTGTGTCCCTGAGACGTGATAGATAAACAAATACTCTTCAGTTCAGTCGTCGAAAATGCATTTTTATGAATATTTTGTAATTATGACCCAAGTGTGTTATACATTTCATTCCTACTTCCTACCTGTCACGTCCTTCCTTCCAGCACTTGCCTTTACGAAACTATATCATAAAATACTTGAATAAACCTAACCAGCCTGACCACCATATCCTGAAACTGTTTAAATAGTATCGATTCCTGCCAGTCCTACTCCACCTGCTCCTTTGCTTACTTTAAAATACATAAAATGACAAAGTAAAACTTGGCGCGTTATTTCCTGGCATGTAAAAATGAAAACCAATAAATCGTTTATTGAATTGGCGACTTCGAGTACGAGACGAATGTCCCGAAAAATATTGATTTTTGTTTTGAGCTCTGTACATTAGTTGGCCGGTCTATTGAAACCGTACGGCGCAGAGGCGGGAGTCAACGCATTTGGGTGACATTGGCCTGTGCCCTCTGCTCTCTTTTCAGCCAACATACCTATAGACCTCCCGAACAATCAGGCCGTCTAATACACGTTTTTAAATTTCGAAACCAAGTTACCCTTCTGTCAACTAAAAGTTTTACTGCGTACGTGTGTGACCGTCAGGATGGCTGGTTGCCTCTGGCGTCTGGCACTGAGTGTATATTCAACAATTGCATCTATTTGCTGCCTTTTCTACGTAATTGCTACCTTTCATGCATTCTGAGAAATTTAAAAAATAACTGACCAGCTTTTTTGATATTAGGATGGCTAGTGGCCACTTTGTCCAGCATGAAGGGAGCAGATTTTCTAGGAGTATATATTGCCAATAATTGCTACCTTATAGTACAAAAGTAACGGGACTTACTCGCGTAGTATTTTAGTCGGAAGCGAGTGTGAGTGCAACGTTCGCGACTCAACCCCTGATGAAGACCATCGATTATGGTTGAAAGTCGGACCGCTTCCGAGTAGAATACTACGCGAGTAAGTCCCGTTACTTTTATACTATAATGTGTGATAACCGCGGTAGTTTTTATTATAATTGCTACCTATTTAAGTACTACATTCACGAATTAAAATTATAAGCTTATCTACATTAGTTAAATTCGTGAAAGTAGCAAATAGGCAGCGTTTATTGGTAATACATACTCCTGGAAAATCTGCTGCCTTCACGCTGAACAAAGTGGCCACCAGTCATCCTCTCAATATCTCAGAATGGCTGGTCAATTATTTTTAAATTTCTCAGAATGTATGATGCAATTATTCAGAATAGTTAGCAATTCTTGAATATACACTCAGTGCCAGATGCCTCAAGCAACTAGCCATTTTGACGGTCACGTATGTTTATGTGTAATAGAACAAAATACGAGAGCTAAAAAGGGGTGGTTGTCGTAGGTATCGCACCATCCGCCCATGGTGGCGCAGTTCTGCGAAGGGCAGGCGGGATGGCAATGCTGGCAGGAGTTCACGATGACTACCAAATTCCGCGGGAAATACCTCCAGGTCATCCCACTAGGTGGCGCCTACGCCGCGTTCCCCGCTTCAGGCAACAAATACACATGGAGAAAGGTACTAATACAAAGGACCAGCAACCCAAATGCGCTATTTACATTATGCAACTTTAGTACAGTCTAATTATAACTTTTTTATGAAAAAAACTTGACCTCAAAAGATCGTGGAATTACGTCTATTTGCGAAATTTTTTGAAATCGGTTTACCACCCTTGGAAGTGGAATATTTTCTTCAAATTTAAATGGGATCAATGGTACCCTCTTTCCAACAAGCAAAAAAGCAAAAAAAAATACCGTACTATTGAGAACCTTCTCCTTTTTCTTTGAAGCCGGTTAAAAATATAATTTCTTATCGTATTGATGGCATACGCTACGTTATTGTGGCCCAGAAGTTATCGCCGCCACCCGCGTCACTAGTTGTAGCCGTCTTGCTTGAAGTATGAGACATGTTTGCTATTGTTATGAAAGTATTTGCCAATGGTAAGCTACACGCCTGTCCATAACACTTGTAGTGCCACTCAGAGCTTTAAATCGCAAAGATTTGAGGGGCACTGCCATTGCACCCGTCAACCCTGAGAGATAAGTTGACAAGTCCCATGTGCCTGTAATTTCACCAGCACCCTTACCCTTCAAAACCGGAACACAATAATACTGACATTACTGCTTGGCGACAGAAATAGGTAAGGTGGTGGCAGTACTTCCCTGGACGAACGCTTTCACAAGGAGCTCTGCTGCTACTAAAGAAGGCTACAGAGCATGACACACCCCAACCGCTACCACGTACCTTATGCATTTTAAATAATGCAAATTTTCCTTTTTAAATTTATTATGTACACTGTCTAGAAACACATTTGTTATAAAAAAAAATTTTAGACGAGCTAAAATTGCATAATGTAAATAAACGTCGCTATAACTGTTTTGATCATTTATTCGTATCTGATTTTGACAACACGTTATTTCTCTTAACGGCAAATAAGTAGGTTCTAGGCATGCCAAAATTTGTCACGGTATCGGGAAGTTAAAAAAACGGAGGCAAGTGTTAAAAGGATTTCGGACAGACAGTACGCGTGACGGCTCTAACCCGAAAGGGATTCGGAGGCTGCCAAGATGCTTCACGTTTGCTTGCAATATGATTGTGTGTCTGGTGCTTTTCTTTTAATTTAGTCTATGATGCAGCCAGTCGTTCCTGTTTAATATAGACAATATCTTTTTCGATTTATGAAATTCAAAAAGAAAACACCCATATCATGGACAGTCTCCGATGCTTTTACGGGTGACAATTGCGTTCGAATACAGCGGCAGATAGTACGAACGCAGGTCATCCACTACCCGCCTACGTGTGCTGTTTTCACGGAAGGCATGTCGGGGTGGCGGCATACCCAGCAGTGGTCCATTTCCAGCCGGTTTCGTGGCCAGTACGTGACCATCTCGCCTGACACCTCTTGCCACATCGTTTTTACCCTCACCGGAAACAAGTACTCATACCAAAAGGTACTCTGTATGCTTGTACCACGGTCCCTCAATTCTAGGGACCGTATGTACGTAGTGAACGGAAACTTAGTTAGTCATAATTAGACTGTCTATCAGTGCGAGTGGTGAGATAGCAATATTTAACATACGTCGAATTCGTCAATGATTGGCATAATAATAATAATATCATTGTGATATTGGATCGATCGCAATCGAGGGTATTTCTTGTGGACGTTACCATCCCGCATAGCGGGGGTCTCGAGAAAACCGAAACCGAGAAACGCCGGAAGTATCTCGACGTGGCTCAAGAGATCACCGACAAGTGGGATGTGGCCTCCACTGAAATAATCTCACTTATTTTGTCGCAAATAGGTTAATTCCAGTCAACCTTGCTAACAACTTAGGCGGTTGGATTTCTGTGGCGTGTCGCTTCCAACACAAACGCTGAAGGCGGTCCTGCTCGATACGGCACGAATTGTTCGCCGGTTCTTGAACCTGAGTCCTTGACCCCGACCGACTGTGTCATTGCCGGGGAATACCGCCTCGCCCATTTAAAAATTCTAAATTAACCTTTTGGGCCTTGGGAGAGGCGAGAGTCTAAAATAGATATAATTATAATATTATGAAGTATTTATTGCTAAATATTCGAGTGTAGTATGGTATGTGGAGCGCACTAAAGTTTCCGGGATGAATAAGAAAAAAATACCACAAATAGTCAGGAATGAATTTATTGTTTCTCAAAATATTCTCCGTTAGCGTTAACCAACCAAGCCAAACTAAGCCACGGAACGAATCAACGGCCCTCACGAATTTTTCCATGTGTTTGTTGCAGATCTTTGTTTTTGGTTTTTAACCATTTTTTGACGTAACGCCATCTGTGAGAAATCTATGAAAGTTTTTTTTGCACTCTTCAAGTTTCTTAATATTTTTGTATTCTAGCCCTTTATTGATAAAAATGCAAGGTAGCTCGAATTATACAGGTTGTATATTTGAAAGTGAAACATATTCATACATGTCATAGTAAATCATGTTACAACTTAACATGGACTAAAATAAAATTAGGATATGGGAAAGAACAAAAAATTAATCAACAAATATGTTTTGAAGTGTACATGGGAATAAACCGATTCCCTTTACGCTTGATTTCGAGTGCAATGGGAATACTACCAAGCGAGCGTCGAGTGAGACAGCAACAATAACAATGATTTCACATTTACGTTTTAGCTTATGTTAATTATTTTTTACTTGAACTATCATCGAAATGTTTTACGTAATAAAAAAGATAAGTTTATGATTTAGTAACTAGTTATCATTTAATAAGAATTGAGGTTTTTGGCGTAATTAAAAATGTGAAATCATATTATTTACAATGATTGATTTTTTAGTTATTTACACTTACGTGGTACGGAACAAATGTTCAAAATGTCCACCGTTTTCCACAATGCATAATCTAGCACGGCGTAGTAAATTTTGTTTTAATACACAACACAAACACATTTTGTCTCACAGTATAAATTGCTGAGATAACCCTGAGAGGGTTATGTTATCTCGCAACACTTCGACACTTTTCACCTCCTCCGCGTAAATTCCGATTTGGGAACATTTCAATAGCTTGCCTCAATTTACCACCACTTATTGCGTCAAGTCGCACCATCTCAGTCAATTCGGCGTTAGGATAAATATCCATTTTGCGGCGATCGGCGAGCGGAAGTACAAATAATTTACGTGTCTTCGTTAGATCAAGGTCGCGTGTGCACTGTCTGAAGTTGCTAACAGCAATTTCGCGTATGCGCCCGCGCCCCCACCCCCGACCTGTGCTTTGTGCTTCGCTGCCGTGCCGCCACTCGCCGCTGCGTCGGAGCAATTATTATTGCTGTAGTGATGTGCATAGATTTTGATAAGTAATGTTGTTCTCAAGTAGTAATCGATAAAAAAAATAAAAAATATTTTTTGTAAAGTTTAAGGTCATTAGTTTATTATTTCTTTGGGCTCAGAATCAGGAATATAACGCACTCTATAAGTATGTCCCACTTTCAAATATACAGCCTGTATAACTGGGAGTGTATTATGTCTGTATCAATTAGTGTAAATACATGTTTTCACGTGCAGGTAACGACGACAGTGCACAACATAATCGTGGGCAAGCTGTGGGTAGACAACCATGGCGACATGGACATTAAAGGCGAGGCGGGTCCGGCGAAGGGCTACGTAGCGCACCTCAAGTACCTGCCCTACGCGTACTTCAGTAAGGATACTCAGCGAAAGGTCACCGGTGTCATCAACGACCCGAAAGGCGTGGTTTGTATTCCTTTAAATCTCATTGTTAGCATTGTTTGCCCTTTATTTGTAAAGTGCCCAACCAACACCTTTTTTCCAATAAATGGCGGAACGAAGAAGTCGTGGATCTGGAGGTCGATTCAGAACCTTACGATAACTCAGCTATCGACCAATTCTATTTGGCATCGTGCGATTTCTTTTCTTTTTTATTCACAACATCCGAATCGAACGTCGAACTGTCGTATTCGAAACCGAACCGAAATGACGTCACACCCGTACTTCGACTCGAACTCGTACTCGAACTTCTCGACCGGCAAAGGCTACAAACGTTATTCAGAACACAGTTATCGAATGAAAGTTACGGAACGTCCTATTGTTTACAAAGCAATCGAGTGTAATATGCAAATGTCTTATTATTTTAAATAGTCTGGATTTTGTTCAATTTTATTACTTTATTTTAATGCAAGACTATAATGCATTCCTATATTTTAGGCCTTTAAAGTGTTAAAAATGTACATAAAAGAATTTAATTTTTTCTTATTATCTATTTATTTCACCGACTAATGCCGAAAGCGCTGTTGGATAACGATATCGTATCCGAATCGAACGTTTAATTCGAATGTTTCTGAATAGCTCGGAAAGCGCCCTTCGATTCGAGAACGATATCCAATCCAACGATTCGGTTAAAGTATCGAAGAGTTCTGATTCGGGGTCCCGGTGTGATGTGATAAAAGTTGCAGTGTCAAGTGACAAGTCCCGTTCACCCGCAGCCTTAGGGTTAAGTCACACTGAAAGCATTTTTGGTGCACAGTATTACTTAGCATTTTGAATCTTCTAAAGAAAAAAGTTAAAATTGATTTGAAGTGATAAAATGTGTAGTGCGGCATCACCCGTGAGACTTGTAGCGACTCGTTCAAATAAGTACCGTGCTAGCTTCTCCGGCCTCTGCGCGCCTTTGCTCTTTCAGTGTTACTTGACACTTACCCTTCGAAACCGGAACGCAGTAATGCTTATACACTATATACGGTACTTCCCTGGACGAACTCTTTCACAAGGAGCTCTACTGCTTATTACAATTATTATAGTTAGGTTTAACCTGATCGATTTATGTCCCTTTTAGTGATAAGTAATTTGAAACTTGCTTGTATCGTTTATATCCGGTAGACTGTGAATGGATCTTATTCTCAATAAATTTTTTAAATTATTAGTGTAGATGACATCCTCGCCTTACTATTAAAACCCTATACGTTCAGCAGTTGTCGTCTTTCGTTTAGAATGATGATGATGTCCTCCATATCCCATTTTTTCCTGCTTGTAATGCGCAGAAAATCCATTGCCTATTAAAACATCACATGACCACTGCGGTTACAGAGACATCTATTGATAAATTTTAAAATCTCACATTTTAAGTACCAAATTGATTTTTTTTTTAAATTTATTCCCACCTATAAAGTTTAAAAAAGTGTGTACATGAATATTTACAGCCGCGGTACGTACTACAAGGCTACTGGGACAGCCGAGTGGAAGTAGCACCGGTGACATCGGCGTCGGCCGACGGCACGCAGTGTACCACCGGCAAATTCGTCGTCGCCTGGGAGCGCGTGCCCGCACCCCCCGACTCGGACAAGTACGTTGCGGCCCTACTATTGATCTTGAACGAAGTTGTGGAACAGCCTCATATCTTTTAGTTTTGATTATAGTGACCCTCCCTGCCGACCCTTAGGGTATACGAGAAGGGCACTATAACCTGTGCGCTCATACGAACCTTATAAGTTGAGATTCAGACCCCTGATCAGCCAGTGTATAGGGTTGTTACAGACCTCTGGCACTTAACTTTATCCGGTTCTCGAGAGACTAGTGCCTTCGGGTGAACCGCCCTGAGTGCACGTACAGTACGCTCCCATTTTTCAGAGAGCTGTAGGCACGCTCACTTCCCGTTGCGCATTTCACTACTAGCGGTTGCCACCGCTAAGGCTCAATTTATATTGCGGCGGAATAGAATGGAAGCGAATTTTTGTTAGAATATTGTACATAGCATAATGAAGTTTATGGTCAATTGTGTAACGACCTAGATACGAGCCAAAATCTTGAGCGAAATTCTCGCGCATGCTCGAGAAAGATTTTGGCTCGTATCATTATACTATGCATAATATCGTTACAAAAATTCGTTTTCGTTCCGTTCGACTAACAAATCTCATCGGTGACGGAGCTGCAAGCCACTCTCGCGAAGTTGCGGGACAGCAGTAACCGGTAACCGTTGTCGGCCAGGTGGTACAACTTCACGCTGCTGGCGGCGCAGCTGAACGAGCACGAGAGCGGCGTGGCGCCGACGGACTCGCGGCTGCGGCCCGACCAGCGGCTCATGGAGGAGGGGCTGTGGAACGAGGCCAACGAGGAGAAGCTGCGCCTGGAGGAGAAGCAGCGCACCAAGCGGCGCGAGCTGGAGGCGGCCACGGAGGCGGCCGCGGCGGCGGGGCAGCCGGCGCCGCCCTCGCCGCGCCCGCTGTGGTTCTCGCGCGAGTCCGTGGGCTCGCCCGGCAACCCGCATCTGTGCCACATGTACAACCACCGCTACTGGGAGTGCAAGAAGCGCCAGGAGTGGGCCGGCTGCCCCGACATCTTCTAGCCGGGCGGCCCCTCCCGCGCGGAGCGCCCGCTCCGAGGACTGACCGCGTCGCGTGCTAAGTTCACTTTGTGATTCTCATTTGGTACTCATTCCATAATAATGTTTTGGTTGTTCCGTTACTTTATTGTTTATTGTTGATCCGTATCAAAGTTTTATTTGAGTTACTTTGTACATAAAAAATGGTAACTTGTGAAAATGTTTTCTAGTTCCGCGGATCAATGTCGCCTACTGGTCGAAGATTTAATAAGTAAATTTCAAAGCAACCCGGCCCCCGAGTCCTCCCGTATTACGCGTCAGGTTCCGAACGCCTCGACCGTAGTCGTAAAGCGAAGTTACTGATAGGATTGACGACAACGAATCCTGCGCTATCTCCAGTCACGCGCGTTTATGAGTCACGTTTGTATTTGACACGAGTTTGAAATCGCAAGTGCTTTGTAGACTAATGCAGTGTTAAGTAAAAGTTTGTTTGCAATGTGGTAAAGACTGGTTAACTGTAATGTGTGATCACTAGACTTCGTGCGAATTTCTTCCCCGAGCCGTAGTTCTGCTACTTGTCAAACTGTTTCTAGGTGATAGAAGTCACGTTTCTATAAGGTGCTTTTACGTTAAGGTCTGTTCAATCTGCCGCGATTCTCGCACAGAACTTGGCCGTTCAACCCCCCGAAATGATGCGATTTAGTTTTAGCTTAGTTTGAATGTCGCGCGCTTTTTGCAAAAATGTGTGCCTCGTTAACGTGTTGCGTAGACGACGTTCTTTTTTGTGCGCCGAGGTTTCAAGTTCTGTAGTACTCGAACACAATTAAAACTTTTTTGGTATGGATTTCACAGTTCCGCATCTGGACGTTAACATCGCCTACAAAGCGCGTTATAAAGTCCGCGCAGGTTACGGAATTGACAACAGTTTGAACAGTCCCTAATCGTTTTTCGTTGAATGCTTGTCACGCTATTCCTTGGTATCTCAATGAACAAGGACGAATGTCAAAAGCGGCCAATTCATATTTCGATTAGCTCAACAAACATATTAGCTGACATTGTTTATGAAAATTTCTATTTCTGTTTTCACTCTAAATAATAGTGATGGTATTCCAAATGAAACATTTTTGGGATACTGACAAAGTAGTATAAATACGACTGAATTCCGCTTAGCCAATCTATATACATTATTTAGTAACTAATATTATCAGATAAATATTAAAAGATTTGGAATTCAGTCTTGCAGTCCAATAATAAAACCGGACAATGCGCGCCGTATGGGGCGATGTTGACGTTGCTGCAGTAGTCAGAATTAATGTTCTGGGCATGGTCGTCCCGTAATTATCAGTAGTTGTACCACAAGAGCCGGGCCATCGCGATCTCCACCAAAACGAATAGAGAATTGACCGCTTTAAACGGGCATTAAAAGTAGCTGTAATAAAAATCGTAAAACTATCTTTAATGCCTTAGTAGAAGCAATAGAGCGTTATCATTATAGGCGTTAAGAGGATAGTCCTGCGAGCGCGCTATTATCATATTTTGGGTGCTATTCAAATTGAATGAAATGCTAATAATGAAACTAGATAATTCCTTCGACTATGAATGCCAGAGCCAGAACACCCTGACCAGAACCAATTTAGAACAGTTCCTTTCCCATATTGGTCCACAGTGTTAGTTACCTTTGGACCACCGAGGTTGTCAATTTTGTAGACAAATACCGTGAACAATGTTAGTTACGTTATAATTTTTTATAAATATATTAAAGCCGACCTAAATTTTGTGGAATTATATCTATTTGCCAAGTTTATTGAAATTGGTTAACGGAAAGTGGGTTAAATCCAGTAAACCGGATTCATCTCCTAATTTGTCACCCTTAGAGGTGGAATATTTTCTTCAAATTTGAAAAAGACCACTTCTGGAGTACCGACTTTCCAACATAAAAAGAATTATCGCATAACATGCAAAAAGAAAACTCCTTTTTTAAAATAAGTTAAAAATAACATTGCAGGTCCTTTTAGAATAACTTGAAAACGGACTCAAAATCTCATAATTTATTAAATAGAATATATTTACTAAAAAGAGTCCAATGTAATACAATTTTTTTTAAGATAGTAGAGTATTTAATTTAAAAAAAAAAATATGAAAAATAATCAAGTCTATCTTAAAAAAGTTTATCTACATACACGAATAAAAAACAGATGGCTATCTCGCTTGCCCGTTTACCCGTGACACGTCACGGTCTAATGGGACTGCTCCATTATTAGATAAAATGCATAACGGGTCCGCGCGATCTGGAAAAGCTATCCTCTTAAGGCAAATTCGAGTTGGTATCGAAAGTGATGCGACCGGTCGCAATTTCCCTCTGGATACAGATTAATAAATTTTTTCTCTAGTGAATAAATAATCTATTTGTTTGCGGTCCAGGACCGGATTCAGAACTCTTCGATATTTTAACCGAATTGTTCGATTAGATATTGTTCTCGAATCGAGCGCTTTCCGAGCTATTCAGAACATTCGAGTTACGTTCAGAGAGATTCAGACAGAAACGTTCGGATATCGTTATCCAACAGCGTTTACGGAGTTAGCGGTGGAATAGATTATAACAAAAAATGAAAATCCTTTTATCATTAGACTGCATTAAATAAATTAATAAAATTGAACAAAATCCATACTTTATTTTTAAATAATAAGAAATTTCCATACTACATTCTTACTTTGTAAACAATAGGACATTCGATAACTGTGTTCTGAATAACGTTTGTAGCCTTTGCCGGTCGAGAAGTTAGTGAGGTCGTTTTGGTTCGGTTTCGAATACGACAGTTTGACGTTCGATTCGTGTGTTGTGAATGAAAATGATAAGAAATCGTACGATATCAAATCGAATCGGTCTATAACTAAGTTATCTAAAGGTTTTGAATCAACCCCTGCCTTCCCAAACAGTGTTAAATTATTTCACTTTAGGTATCAACTTGAAAGGCTGTAGGGTATTTTGTAAGGTCTATTACAAATTGTACATTTTCAAGTGGGTGTAAGATAATTTGTTAATATTTTTATTAATAGAATATTTGAATACAAAGCCATAACATCTGTATCATGTTGACTATGAAATAAAATATAACGTCGCAGAATACTTTTTTATTATAATCCCGTAATGCAACAAACTTCATGTCGTCAAGTACCCAACCCATTATTCAGTTAATTGTACATGGCTATACAAAGATAGTCCATATAATTTGTTGCTTTCTACTTGGCTTTAGGACCGAAACAAACAGAAGTTATTCGTACCGTTATACGGGTATAATATTATTCGTACTAATTATGTTATGAGAGAACGGTATTCCCTCCTACCCAGAAAAGTCAGACCTGAACCAATTTAGAACATTATTTCCCAAATTGTCCCTAAAGAGGTATCGAACATGGGACTTCCTCCTCCAGCGTCCATAGTGCAAGTCGGTTGGGTCACTGAGGTAGTTGGAATATATAAGTTTGGTTATGGCGACGGCGGCTTAACACGTTCCCTGTGCATGCATCATATGTGATGCATTTCGAGGTCCAAACGACACGTGAGTGCACCACATATGAGACACGACCCTTTGTAAATTTAAAAGTTTTTCAAAATTTGCACGTGCAAGCTAGATCATCTTTATTTGCTTGCACGTATGGACCACAAAAATTGTGACAATAAGCGAGTGGTACCGGATGACTTTTTAACCAATGTTGCCAGATTATTACTATCAAAATAAATCACGAAAAATATTTATTATTTTTTTATTACAAGTTAGAAAGATCTAATTATTGACTTGCGTATACGGCACGTGATAATAAAAACTAAACAATAATCAAATAAACAATGTCATAAAACCCAAGAAACAAAAATTGTCTAGTAAGCACAACTAAAATCATTATTTAATGGCTAGCATTGTAGCAATGAAGGCACAATGCTTTTTTACACATCAAACATTCGGTGTCCGTTTGCTTTGCCTTTCTACGAGCTTCTGTAGGTGTGTTGCCTTGTTTAGTCATAATTTTGTAGCAACCAACACAACGCTTTCTGGAAATTTTGGTAGCACATCGGCGTGGGATTTTGGTCAATTCATGGCGGGAATGTCAGATGTCATTGATGGCCCAGCTAACGGCTCAGCATCTTGAATTTCCAGGAGATGACTGATAATTATTTCATGACCTGTCAGCAGTGTCATTTTATTATTTCGATGGAGGTCCTTGTAGATCAAAATTGCATTTACAACAGCCGACATCAGATCACCCGCAATTTTTTTATACCAAAAACAAGTTTTGCGAACGGGCGAATTGTAACTTGCGAGCTGATCAGCTATATCAATGCCCTTCTTGCCGCGATTGTAATCTAATACAATTTTAGGTTTCATGATTGGCCTGAAACCAGTGGACATTGCCATTTGATGATCATGACATGTTGATAAAACCAAAACTTTGTCAATCACTTACATAACTATATAACTCGTAACACTTTATAATAAACTTTCACTAACTTTTTCTATCTTTTCACGGTATAGACTACAGATATTTAACTAAAACATCTGTCAAAATGACTCTAAACGTGCATGAATTATATGTGATGCATTAAGTAAACAACTAGTACGTGCGTGCACCATATATGTGGCATCAAGTAAAGAGCTCATACGTGCGTGTATCATATATGGGGCACTCGGGAAAAATTAGATAATGGGAGTTTATGAAAATGAATTTTCTATCCATAAATGTATTAATATATATCAATTCCGACGTATTTGCAAAAAAAAATTGCACGTGGGGGGTCAATTTTTGATTTCTAGTTCCACAGGGAACGTGTTAACATAGATTGATGTGTTTAACACAATAATGCTCCCGCATCTGACGAACGTGTTCTAAATCGCATAATGAATATAGAACATTGTGTCACAAGGGCTGTACGTTAACAGATTCAAAGCACGTTGAGAGGGTTTTAATGGGCCGAACGTTTGTAGTTGCTGTTCCACGCATTTGACATACAATGTTTATAGGTTACAGAGGAAAAGTAAGAGTTAAAAACGTTAAAGTTTATTCATATTAAATTTATGAAATTTTAAAATCTCAAAAATTTTATATAAAAAATAATAACTTTTAATGCATTTAAAACATTTTGTTTGAAATTAGAGCGTAAAAATTAAAAAAAATATACGGCCATATGATGAAACTTAAAATAAAAGATGAATACCGCGGGGAGTTTAAAAACGGCCACCGTAATTTTTTTTTTAATATAACAATAAGTGCGCATTTGACCTCGATTTCACCCGATAGAAAGTGCTGACGATGAGGTCGACGATGTAGCGTGCACACATAAATTATTGTTCCTATTCACTCTCGCCTTGAAAAGGTCCGAGTTATAACGTTCAGTGTGAAAACAAACAACCAATGTATATTTTCAACATTTTATTAAGAAAACGGAAACAGTGAAAAAGTACATAACTGTAAATTGCAGTTGGTTACAATATTGTTTATAAACAAATCTTTTACAGTTAAAAACGTCCCCATGACTTTACTCTGTTCTTATTTACATCTACTTCACATTATTGCAAATGGGAACATTCGAGTTTCACTGAAAAGATAGTACAAAATTGTCATAAGGACAATTGAAATTGTTTTTCTTTCAATTCATATATTAGTTATTAAAACTAGTGTATTTAAGAACAAAGCAAATGCATAGAACTATAGTTAGAAATAAGCAGATAAATAATTCTTCATATTGATACATATTATGATACAGGACATTTGTCTCATTTCCTGAATAAATTAAAATTCAATATACTTACAGTAAATAATTTGGCTAGCGGCACTTCATAAAAAAACATACAAAAATTATCTTGCTATTATTATAAGAAAATTTTAACTGATGTGCCTCCTTAAAATTTCGAAATGAATAGAGACGAGTCAAATGTATTATTTATTACCTTTATTGATATAATTGCCTTTTTTTAAAAAAAAATCCGTGTATAAAAAAACTGAAGAAATGCTTCAAAAGCATTATTAAAGTGTATTTTTCCAATTTTTGCTTATACCAATTTCTACAGTTCCAATCCCAATTAAAAACTGTGCAATTTAAGCTGGTACATCTGTATATCTTACATATACCAATATACATATTTTGGTGTTTAATCAGATAATGAGACATTTGTTGAAACTTATATTTCGGTATTAATTTATTTATACATTTACACTTCGCCAAATAGCCTTCCTAAGCAGTATCACTCCAGTTTCTAAACAAAATAATTATTATATCAGCTCAAAAATTTAATTATAGCTTATCTTATACAGGGTTATTTGTATATATATATACAACCTCCCAGGATTATATTCTAACATCATAGCTTATAATTCGTCAATTTTTCGTACAAAAATAAAAATATTTAAATAGACCACTCTAAACGGTGATAACTCTGTGCGGTATCAAAAGATAGCTTTAGCGGAAATACCAGTCCGATGCAAAACCCAGGAGCGGGGATGGGGGACATCGGGAAGGACGCTTGCACGTATTAACTTAGTACTTTACTAACAAATACAGATCTAAAAAGTGTCCGATAATACAACAAACGTTTATTTATTTAGAGATTTTATTTTTGGTAAATTTATTATGTTTTGTAAAAAGAAATGGCACAAATTATTTAAAATTATTATATTATAGAAAAAAACCATTGTTGTTTATGATGTTGATAATATAGTTCTGTGAGGTTGTTTAGTATTTTACAAACAACCCTATATACACTCGTTAGTAAACAATTTTAGATATCGGAGCATTTTTTACAAATAAGGCTTTAAAATATGGATAATAACATAGCAGTCAATTTCCTGCCAGAGGCTGATAAGTAAGACGTAGCGAAGTATGGGAGTACACATATGCGTAGTGCTCTGAACGCGTACCGCGTAGCACTGAACATTGCCATTGTTATGTCGGCGTAGGTGTTTACTAAAAGTAAAAAAATAATTTGTCGCATTATTCAATTCAGTGTCATAGCGAAGATTCAGCGGGGTATCCAGCCCTGCGCCTGCGCCGTCGAGAGCGCGTTGTCACATCTAAACCCAGAGATCTCTCATTCACGTCAAATATGCACTAAGAATGATTAAAAAAACCGCAACTTTTTTTCTGCACCACTATTTACATATTTTACAAGGGAAAGAAATAATAAATGATATTTCTATACCTCTGATATGAGCTTTCTTCAGTGCTTTTGTTATCAATAGCAACAATTATTTTTATAATGCCAACATACTCTCAATATTAAATGAAAGTATAAATGTTATATACAATTGCAGCCATTTAAATTTCAATTCACAGCGTAAAGTGAACACACATGCACGTCTTTACGTGTTTAACAAAATCAGCATAACTTTTGCTAAAGTTTATTGCCGAACGGTGTTTGGTTCCTTCTAAATGTTAGTTCAAGAAATCCGATCGCACGCTGGTTCTGCACCATATTCTCATCTCTGCAATCTTGCTACAAACATAATACAATAATTGTAATCTTCATTGTATCAATTATAGGCACAAAATGTTTTTTGTAAGCTATTCTTTTAATGAGGATGGATTTTTAATATTTTTATGGACTAGTTTTAGCGTCGATGACGATAGGTGGAAACTATATGACTTCATAGATTGAATATGAATACAGTGGTACTGTGAGTATGTGCTACCCAATATCTGGACCGAGTAACAAAAAAAACACGACAAAAAAAAAAGATTTTGTATGCAAAGTGTTCTTTGCATAATTCCAAAGATGCTGTTGCACACAATCAATACTTCGTTGAACTGTTATTCATGGCATAAATGCTTGGAAATTGAACTAATATTCAATGACTTGATCGCGTTTGTATGCCTAAGCATACATACAGGGCTAAAATTGTGAATAACTAAAACCAGTACTGTTTTACAATTCCATTGTTGTGCAAAGAACATGAAGTTCGGTTGCTATTTAGAACCTTTCGAGACAGGCTTTGTAGGGTAATCTCTGTCTAATTTTCGTGTATTTATAGTATTTGAGTATATTAAATAATATTTTACAATAATATTCATGCATAATACTTAAAAGAATAAAGAAAAATAAATATTACCACGGAAATTAGGCAGTGAACACTACAATGACTCTGCTTTATTATAAGCTTAAAAATTGTGTTCATAATGTACACAAGTCATTTGTATGTTCAACTTCCACTGCGAAATTGGAAGATGGCACCCAATGATGATAAATTACAATGAAGGTTTTTTAAACAGTCGCATTTTACTGTAGCTAACAATATCCAAACAAATAGTTTTATATATGTCCATTTGCAAAGTTCAGCCCCACATTATCCGCGAGCTACACAAAGAATACATAAATGCTCTTGTCGCGTACTTAACAATATCATGTTGACTCTTTTATATTATGTACAATATATAATTATAATAATATGTATACACAACACAGTTTGGTCAAACCTTCCAGACAAAAAACTGTGCACAGACATGAGATTCAGTGACTTAGCTAATGGCAAAGCATAACAGAGTGAATCTCAGGCATTCATTGATTTGTTTAGATTCAATTTGGTACAAGGAATTCGTCTCCGTAATGAATATGACATCTTCTTCCATATGGTCATCTTGAACTCTATATATGTAGACAAACAAGTAGTAACATACATGATAAAAAAAAGTATATTCAATCATGTACTTGTTCTTAATAGTAGGGTAACACAACAGGGTCCTATTTGCACGATAACGACATAAAGCGCGAGATCTCTATGCGAGAATAGCAGTATCTACTACATATGAACAATTTTGTTGGTACAAGAGGTTTAGTTAATTGAATATAGTAACACTATAATTGTTCTTAGTACATAAAGAATTGAATGCCAACATTCTTGAACAAATAAATTTAAATTATTCTTTCCAGTCCAACTTTCAATAAAGGCTATTTATGCTAAAAGTAAATGAATGTCTAGCGGGAACATAGTATTGAAGTACAATGTTCTCGTTATATAGAAGAGTGGAGCCAAAGTGATTTCAATTCCTAATTTCTTTATTATCATGCAATGCGCACAGTTTAATGCAGGTTTCAATGTGTACTTACATTCTCATAAATCAGTAGCAACTATGTTCAATGTACAGACTTCATAATAATGATTATATTATTGTAATTACTTTCATTTCAAACTAAACCGAAGAGGAAATTAAAAGGTTTGACATTTTAAATGTATAATGAACATGTGTGCTACTGGCTTCAGATTTTGCCATGCGGTATCTAAACATTTAATTTCTCATCAGCTCATTTTCATACAACTTGACGTTGCTCTGTGTAACCTTGTTTGAAAAATTTGTAAAGACAATAACAACTCTGGCTAAATTCTAGAGAACAGTGTACAAGATAATTATGAGATTTGTACAATGGTTTTCTACTCATATCAAACTAAGGATTTTCAACATAGAAAGACTTATAAAAGTACATAAAAATACTTTCTTAACAAGATGTACAAACAGCAACATCACCTCCATATTAATATGGCCAGTTACACCTTAAAAGATCTTCATTTTATTTACAGTTTAGAATGGTAAAACTTAAAAATACATAACAAAATTAGACAGGAGTGGCTAGTTAGAGGAAAATCTACCAAATATTTGTGATTATATAACAAAACTCAAGCACAATAAACATCAACAGAAACAAAATATTACATGTCTCTTACAATTCAAACCAAAAGTGGCCTGGTGCTTGCACTTACAGACCTCTTAACCATACATGTCGATACAAATTTGTATATGTCCAATTTTGCTATCGCTACTGTGACCATGCTTCAGAATTCGAGTTCGCGCCAGGCCTTAACAATCACAACTAAATAAATCTCCAACAAAATACCAGACTCTAATCAATAACGAATTTTTTTTTACATTTTTTCTGAGTGCAATAGTAATTAAATGCTCAAGATAGCTCTCGTTCATTCGTATTTACAAAGCGAAAACAAAATTAACTTTAATCACAGCGAAGACGCTTAGATACGTGTGACCACGACCGGACCCAATGGGCGAGAAACAGCACTAGCTTCGCAAACATACGCGCCGCACTACTACGCTTAACGCAAGTGCGCCTCGTAGAAACCACATTCACCGATAATTCGAATTCTCGCGGAATTCGCACGCTTATAGCATATACTTTTACAAAAATATTCCATTTGACACCGGTTAGTGGGGATATCAAGGAGACGCTCGAGTCGCTATCAGCCACGCGCGGCGGTGGCGGAAGCTCTCGTCGCGATAATTGTCTCGCCTTCGATCGCACACGAGAATGTCGTTGGCGACACCATGCTCAATCACCGTCACTCGCGTCACTTTCACTTCGGCACACATCACAATTCTCGAGCGCACTACGACACCGCAAAACTTTCGTCACTTCGTCTGTCGTGCCGCGCAACAGCAGTCTATAAGACGGCAAGCGCGTGATGCTATTCGCTGAAGTACCGCACTTTGCCGCTGCCGCACCGTACTACGTCTTCCCAGGCTGTGGGACAAAAATCGATGTTAGAATTTTGTGAGAAAAATAATCCAAAGAACTTTCGACGTGGATAGACCGTCGATTTTGATGTTTATTTCATACCACTCTTTAAATACACGATTGTCGCGTTTCAGGGCTCTCACGAAAATACGTCGACGGTCCTTTGAATGATAGATAGGTTTGGGTGGCTTGCAATTATTTACTTAAGGACAGTCCTGTATATTTCTTTATAAGTTTTGTTTATAGTGATCTTTCCTACCAACCCTCTTGGGTATACGGGAAGGGTATTATAACCTGTACAAGCACAGGGACCTACAAGCCGTTGAATCTAAACTCAAATACCAAACTCTCCTTGCTGGTAAGGGAGCTGCAGGCACGCTCACTTTCCGACGCCCTCCGTGCGCCTATCCAGGTTCTATTATTCCTATGCGGCTGGATCGGAGGATATCTACCTTTACCTCTACTAATTATCCGGACTAGTATTGGAGACGTCAGTCGCAGTGTCCTACGACAGTGACATTAGGTCCTCGTCCAAACCGCTAGTAAAACGTGCTAGCTGCGCGCGAGACGGACGCCCTGGCCACACACCACCGGGGCAGACTACCAAGTTCGTCTCTACAGCTACCACAAGTCCCGGCGAGTCCGAAGTTCGGGTGCGCCAGAAACGCCCGTGAAGGGATATCACTGGTGGCTAGCCCGTAGTCTCGCCGCAAATCCCTATTCATCGGGTCAGTAGTGGTACTCACCGGCGCCGACATAGTCGATGATCTGGTGCAGGTGCAGCGTGTCTACGGGCGGCGCGGGCGGCACGTAGCGCAGCGCGGCGCAGCCGGCCAGCACCGCCACGCCCCCCGCGCCCCCCTCCACCGCGTCGCGGACCAGGTCGCAGCGCGGCCGCCGCGGCGCGCCGCCTGCACACACCGCATGGACTGTAACTAAATTTCCGCTTACAATTTAACTAAACTCACTTTAAACAGGATTTCACAGTCACATTTATTTGTTTTAAAAATACTCTCCTCAGTTTGGAATCATCGGGGTCGCCATTACGGAGTTAAACTCTTGCAACATTAAATAATTAATAGATTGCGTCGCGAAAATCCATGTCGTTGGGTCCTTTCATTCTACCTTGATTGGGTTCGCGGAATAGCAAACGAATGGGCGCGCAGAGCGGACTCACCGAGCAGCTGCTCGTTGATGTCGAAGCCGAAGGTGACGCCGTCCATGTCGCGAGGGCGCGCCGCCGAGTCGAGCAGGATGACGGGCGGGCGGCGGTCGGCCACGACGTCGGGCGCCGGGCAGTCGGGCGGGTCCAGCGGGTCCAGCGGGTCCAGCGGGCCGCGCTCCTGCAGCGAGCGCCGGCGCGCGCCCTGGCGGGGCTCCGGCGAGTGCAGCTCGAGCGAGCTCTCGCAGTCGCGCGCCTTGCGGTGCGGCTTGGGCGGCGCGGGCGGCGGCGCCTTGGC